ATAACAATGGACAGACATAATTGGGGAAAATGAATAATAAAAATCCTTATCAAAGGGAATATTGGATTAGGAAAATGCTAAAAAAAAACAAAACAAAACAAGATGGTGGGGACCTCTGGAAAACAAAATTGAGCCTGTACACACTGCGCAAATTTTTGTTTACTTAATGGAAAAGTCAGTTAATCTGTGGTACGCGTGTGCACAAATTTTTTTTTTCCCTATATAGTTTGTCAGGCCAGACCAAACTAAAAAGGTGCCAGCATCCTGCTTTAGAACAAGACAAAGTTTTGTCAGGTATGAAAAGTGACAGATTTTTGAGTTTGCACCCCTTAATCTGAGGGGAAACATCAAACAAGTAAATTTGATCTCACATTGATATCTCTTTGATCTTTGATCCCCATGTCATTGACACTTTGTGGTCAACAAATATTTTACTGATTTTGAGTTTGCCCACGATGACCAAATTGAAAATTTGATGGAGACACTTTTTTGTCAAAATTCTTGGAAGAGCCAAACAAATTTTGTCAGCCAAGTGCATACAAGCCCATAGTGATTAAACACCCTTCCCCTGTGAACCAGACAGAATTAATTTCTATCTCAGTAGCAAAAGTCGCAGAGGTAGCCATGACACCATTGAAAATTATCCACACCTGAACTGGTGTATAATGAGCCACAAGAGTACGCAGACGAGAAGACTGACGATCATCTTGAAACTGTCCAACCTAAAGAATAATGATTAATACATGTAAGTACCTCTTGTGAAATGCATTTCAATAAAGTATACAACAAAAAGTGAATGAACTGGAAGAGATCAAACAATGCTCATTCAAATTGAAATCTTGCAGTCAGATTTTACCCAAAAACCGTTAACAACTTTAAAAAATTGTTTAGACTTCACAAACTACTATTTTGATGAACTGTTAACTCACATGAAACTTTCCAATTGATGTATCGACAAAACAAACACCATAAACACTTTCACCACCAGAAACATCATCAGAACCCTAAA